ACTCTGTTACCCTGGGTAGAGTGCTATGACACCATCACAGCTCACAGCAACCTCAAACTCCTGGGCTCAAGAAATCTTTTTGCCTCAGCCTTCGGAGTACCTGGGATTTCAGGGACCTGCCACAATGCCCCAGCTAATTTTTCTATTTTTAATAGAGATGGGGGGTCTCATTTTTCCTCAGGCTGGTCTCAAACTCCTAAGATCGAGTGATCCACCTGCCTCAGCCTCCCAGAGTGCTGGGATTATAGGCAGGAGCCCCAGTGCCAGGCCTTCAATGCATTGTTTTAATTAGTCAATGTAATGTCTCTCTTTAGGTGAATAGCACACCAGTGGAACAGAGTTAACCAAGAAGAGTAACAATAGAACTATCTTTAAATTTTCACTGGTAGAAAAAAAATCAGTTCAAAACTTCTGAGCAAAATACAAATTTAGGGCAATTACTCTGTGATTCTCTCCACATACATGTTAATAAAGTTTGTATGCCTTTTCTCTAATTGTAAAACAAATACAAATATGGTTCCTTTTTTTTTTTTTTTTGAGACAGTCTCATTCTGCCACTGGGTTGAGTGCTATGGCATCAGCCCAGCTCACAGTAACCTCAAACTCTTAGGCTCAAGTAATCCCCTTGCCTCAGCCTCCCAAGTAGCTGGAACCTCAGGTGACTGCCACACTACCTGGCTAGTGTTTCTATTTTTAGTAGAGATGGGGTCTAGCTCTTACTTAGGCTGGTCTCCAAATCCTGAACTCCTGGCTATTTTTAGAGACAAGGTCTTGCTCTGGCTCCAGCTCAGGCTGGTCTTGAACTTGTGAGCTCAAGCAATCCACCTGCTTTGGCCTTCCAGAGTGCTAGTACAGGCATGAGCCACCCCACCTGGCCAAATCCAACATTTTCAGTACTGAACCATTTTATAAAGCTAAGTGCTTGGCTTGGCGCCTGTGGCTCAAGCAGCTAGGGTGCCAGCCACATACACCTAAGCTGGCAGGTTCAAATCCAGCCCAGGTCTGCTAAACACAGTGA